GTAACAAGGGGTAACATGGGGAAACAAGGGGTAACAAGGGGTAACAAGGGTTAAAAGGGGTGACAAGGGTAATAAGGGGTAACATGGGGTGGCAAGGGTAACAAGGGTAACAAGATTAGTAGATTCATTATTTGCAAATCCCCCATAACGCAGCTTGTGTAGGTAGGGCAGTTACGGAAAAATTTAAGCAACTTGGAAATGAAAAATCCCAACTTTTGAGGTCGTAAAACATTAGTGTTAACAAATTCAGATGCACATTATTTTCTTTTGCCTGGTTTACAAATAACAAGTGTTGTCTGTAGATACGAGTATGTCCACTGATTCCTTTGAATGTCTGTGAACCCTCGGTTCCATCGAGCACCTAAAATCCTTCAGTGTCATGGTACGTAAATGATCCTTTTGGGAAACTGCAGAAATTTTCAAGGATGAATTAAAATATTTGGGGTACCATAAAACATTCATTTTCAAAAGAGGAAACAAAAATGTCCTGTGGTTTCAGTACCCGGGAGTACTGTTAGAAATTACAAAATCCTAGGGATTCCAGAGAACCTACATAGGAGAGTACCCCTGCCCCCGCCGTACGTTCAGGGTCGAATTGATAGTTGGAAGTGTTGTTTTTTTGAGGAGAGGAGAAAACCGGAGTATCCGTGGAAAACTACTCGGAGCATGGACGAGAACTAACACAAGAATACCAACACAAACTGACAAATGGAGTCGACGCAGGGATTTGAACCCGTGCCACAGTGGGGGGAGACGACTGCTCGCAAAACTACGCAACCCTATTGTTGAGCTAATAAAGTTCAGACTCACTCTGTGTGGACAGCATTTGCCTCCCTTTCTAGCACGTGACTATTAAACTGCCTCGTCACGTACAGTGGTATCATCCACGGACATCACAATCTATACCCATTTCTTGAGGGACAGGCGACTGTTAACAACAAAGGCGTGTCCAACTTCTACGGTATACTATACTTGTATATGAAGAACTCCTGTAAATATATCACACATTTAGTACTGAATCGTCCTGCTTGACCCCAGTAGTCTTCGTTACGAAGGCGATGACAGCGGGAACAAGGGTTGATGGAAGGGATAATCTCAATCCCTCGTTTCCCTCCTTCCCATCCCACCCTGTGCGCCACTAGGGAGACGTTCAACATATATGACCGGGGACGAGTCAGCATTTAGTCCAGAATTTCGGGCTGCGGCGACTTCAATTCAGGCAAAGCGCCCTTCTCTCATCCGCGATCTTCTCGAGGGTACGTGCGTACGTGCCATCTTATCTTTTGTATTTGTCAACTCTCGTCTTGTAGACGTCTCACTATTTCAGACACCCCGATAATACGGACAGCTGCTAAATCCCCGGAAAAGAGCTGAGATAGGCATTTGACTGAAACAAACCCTCGCTGTTAAAGACTCTTGCTATTACAGAATTAAGGACACATACAGCATAATTTTGTTGTTTTAACTCTCGTTATAACGGACAACAAGCTGCCCCTTTTAACAGAGAGATAAAAGTACGATTTATTTCTTCCACTTGTAACTTCTGACTTCTCTTTTCATTAAGGTTAACCCTTATTCTGTTGCTAATAATCTAAATGTCCTCTTCAACATTTCTAAAGACTAGCTGTCAAGTCTCTCTGCCATTAATACGTTGGTCCAGTCTGACTAAATTCTTTCTGCGCTAAAGTTTGTTTTTCGGTTACAAGTAATCCAAATGCAAAGGCATGTTATTTATAAAAGCAAGTGTTTTTCAAAGAAATTTCTTCACGTACCCGCTATTAATGACCCTCCTTACAACGGAGACTAACTCGCGGTGCCCACAAAAGGGATTAACGGGAGTTGATTGTATATACGTCATTTGTGATCACTCCGTCAACCAACCTCGTTCTCGGGATCTTTTCTCTTAGAAACGAGGTTAACAATCCGGGACACCAAGAAGTGACCCAGACAGACATTTCAAATATGGACACCTACGTCTGTTACTTTACGGGTGCCCTCATTGCTGCTACCAAGTGTCTTCACTCGCCTAGTCTTTAAGACTCACTATCCTGCGCGGCCTGTGAGACTTGGGTTATGTGGTTTGAACGGCGCTTGTCTCGGCTACGTCACCGAAATGCATTGATCGTGAAGGCCTGGGAAGAAGCTGTACAGGGACAAGGCAATGTCTTCACATCACCGAATTTTCACATGAGCGAACAGAGAGAGGCGTTTATTCTCATAACTACAACAAGCACAACAAAACTAGTATGCTTTCGGCAAAAAAATCAAGAGAGTTTAAAAATCGCGGAATATCCACTCCATCAGTCGATACGTCTAGGCCATCTTATCATCCATATCGCTTTTTCAAATTCCAACATCGATGTTAGAATCCTCGGTCAGGGTTATTGTGTTGCCATCGTTAGTCTATCCTTACTTTGAACTTGACATTATGCAAACCTTGGTTAATCAAGCAAGAAACTGAAGGAATTGAATCATTTTGCTCTTTTTTGCCAATTCCTAGTATTTTTGGAGTAATTCTCAAAGGGGGCATCTCTTTCACAGGGGCGTTTATTAGAGATTTGGAAGTGGGCGTTTATTAGGCTATTCACGGTATGTACAATTCGATTCGAACGAGGATTCCTTATTACTTTGATAAGATGATGTAAAACCGCTCAAATCGCACTAAAATTGCGCAGAAAAGGCAAAAGCAAAACAAGGTAACGATATTTCCACTGTCTAGTCTAAGTCTATTTATTCAATCTGAACTTTGTTCCCCATACGAACTCTTACATTACACTTGGGCCAAATGCAGTTAGAGGAAAGAACAAAGACTTTCAGTGTATTCCACTGGCATTAAGTGATTTTATTTGAACCATGAAATGGATAGTAAAATACTACGCACTATTATGCACTAATTCTATTGTCTTATTTTGATTGCCTCTTGCTATTTTGCAATATTTGTTAGTATCTGTTTCACAGTTCAAGTAAAATCACTCTAAAGGTTAGTGTATTCCAAACATTTAACTTCTGATAAACTGGTTGTAAGTATAACGTGTTTTAAATTAGCATACACATTTCACACAATAATAGTTAAAAACTAAGAGTTAAACAGGAGATGTACGTTAAGCTAAACGTCTTAGAACTGTTAATAATATTTTCAAGATGGAAGAACTTTCTTGCGCGAAACTAACTTTTATTTTTGCGGTTGTAGGGGACAGGATCCAAAATTTTGAAAAAATAAATTAAAAACTCTCCATTTGGAAACAAGGAAAAGTGACGTTTTTACCTGAATACCAGGATTATTACACTTAACTTCCTGTTTATACCGTAGTCAAGCGCGATACGTAAGATATATCACTTGCCATGCTCGCCCAGTCGGACTTTCAGGCGAAAAGTATATATTCTGAAATTCCTCCACAGCGAGCTGGATACTCTCTTTCTTGCGAATTTTCTCCCAGCCGCTAATACTGCATCCTGTCGTAACCCTGCTGAAAAACATTTCTGATATTTTCCCGCTTACAAAAACAGCGATGGTCGAGACAACGGCCGACGACGTATACGCCACCTTAAAGAGAAAGATTGCCGCTAACGCAATAGACAAAAATATCAGTATCGCTAGCACATTACATAGCATTAAGAAAACTTCATCAGCAATTGGCAAGACACGCCGTTTGTTGCAAACAAACCAAAACAGCGCTGTTGGAATTGTATCTTCTTCGTATGGTATCATTTTCTCCTTCGAAATCTCCTTCCACTGTTCTGAAATCATTGTTTTAACCTCCTTGTATCTATTTTGTAAATTACTGTAGCAAAGATATATATTTCTCCAAACTACGAAGAAAAATGTGACATAGGGAATCGCAAATTCTGCGTTAAGGATGATTCCCATGACAACGAAACCAAACATTCGAACCACGAATTGAGAGGAAAAGATGACGACGATGAATAAGCTGAGAGACGAATAAAGAAAGATTAAAAAAAACAAGCTTTTATAAAAAAAACGCTTGTGAATAAACCTGAAACTAATTTGCAGTAGACACAACAAAGGAGAATATAGCACAAGGCAAACGACCGATACGAGTAAAAAAATCACGAAAGTGAAAACAACAGCCAGTGGACAAACAACAATTGCAGAAGCAACCGAACCTAGCACACAAATAGCATGTCCACACGGTGAATGTTGAGAAGGCATGTGCTCAGTATTTCTCCATAATTCGCACTTACTATTAGTAAACTGGCCAAGAAAGGTTTCCATTACTTGCATTACCCTACTTGGAATTACTTTTACATGCTTCTGTACCTCCTTTTGCGGAGTTAGGATGCCTTCAGTTTCGCAAAGACTATATTTGCTAGTTTGCAGGTTTGCTCCTTCAGGCCTCCAAAAAGAAAATATCACAGTAGGTATTGTAAATAAAGGCAAAATAAACAGAACATACACAACGGGTTTCTTCATGTCAAAAATATGAAGGTAATAATCTCCAACTTGAAACAAAAGCTTACCGGAAGCATCGTCAAAGTTTCCTTTGATTATGAAATATAACGCAAGCTTAACATAAAAAATTATTGGAAGGACACAGTACCATAGGAGAATCAATTTTACGTTCAATCCGTGCTTTAAAAATGTTAACCTTTCCGCGCACTTGCTTACAATCACCGCAAAGGTTATCGGGCTTGAATCATCCACTGGGATTTCCTCTGGTGTTTGGCGTTTTTGGCGAATTCCGTTGAAAAAGTATTCCGGTATGGCACAGAAGAGTAGAGGCCAGTACAGGAACACAACTGATACGACTACGTTAAGGATATAGTTGAAAACCAATAGCCACTTGCTTTCTATAACATCAAAGCCGCAGTGAATTGGCTTTCTTTTTCCCCGTTGTTCTCCAGATTGCTTGCAGCATTGGTATTTAAAACTACCTCCAACGCCGAAAGAAAACTCTTCAAAGACTCGGAAACAAACCACACCGTTTATCTCATCCGGCGGTTTAGAAGTAGTTAAATTTCTTGTGAAATTCAACAGGGATGTTGCAAGAGTAATATCCTGACACGGCGGAGTCAAATGAGCGAAACAGCCATCTTGTGTTTCCTTTAGAGTCACCATTATGGACCTCACTTGGTTTTTCAAGAGACCAAGGGACAAAACATCATAATCGTAGGACAGCGCTAACATCGACTCGCTAACACTTTGAGCCCACGTCCATCTGTAGGGCAAAATTCTGTTCTTCGGCACAGGTTGGTCGTAACTGTCATTGAAGATCTTAAAATTCAGGTACACGAGCCTTACACCTTGTTCAGAAGCTTTGAATCGAAACTCGGACGAGTAATCACGTTCCTCTAAAACCTGGCATTTCATTTCTTTGCAAGAATCAGCTGAAGAATAGCATACGACAGTGTAACAAGTCAACAAACTACTCAGATTCACCACCAGAAACCAAACACTCCTTGGCAGCGCCATATTGTTCCTGTTGCAAATTTTCCGTTTACGAATTCGTTTCAAGTGAAATTTGCATAAGCTTTGCTCGCGACATCCGCCCTCTGCTAGCTTCCGCATGGCATGGTTGAAACAAAATCAATGTTTCACTTTTCCTCTGTCATTGTATATTCTCTGGTCTAATTACGTTTAAATGACCCAAGCCAAGCATTCATGTGGAAGTATTTCCTTCTTATACAGTTAGCGACTCCTTTTGATACGTTTCTTGTTTACTCCTGCTTGTTTAATGCCCAAGTTCTTTTCTTCTTTTTGAGAAGAGCAATCGTCATATATATAGACGATAAGCTAGGGTATCTAAAAGATAGTAATGCTGCGGCACAATCTGTTGATACTGGCATTAGTTAGGCAGTGAGACTCAGAGAATCGAAAATGACATTGAATGTCCTATTTACATGTTGGAAAGTAATAATTACTATCAGTCTATAGAAAGAACTGTACAGTACCGCAAATGATCCCCAACCGCAAATGATTCCCAAAATGGACCGCAAATGATTCTCGACCGTAAGTGATCCCCAAAGTCGACCGCAAATGATCCCGAAAGAAAAATAGGAATGGCTTGGACTCAAGTTTGCGGATCATTGTGTCAATTTTATTATTATTACAGAAAGTTATATTAAAAGCGAAATTTTGCTTCCCAAATAATTACATGAATAAAAACTAAATGAAAGACATCGTTAAATCAAAATGTCTATTGGGACATTTTTTCGTTGAGGCTGATAACAAACGAAAAAATATAATATTCGTCAACTCTTTTGAAAACTGAATAAAGGAGGGATTTTTTCTTTCCAAATTTACACTGGCATTTGTTTCTTTTTAGTGTTTAGAAGTTTTGTTTGGTTGAAATATTAACGGGGCCAGTAACTTGTTTACATGAGACGCCAACTGCATGTGCAATTTATAGTTAAGCAATCCTACTAAGCTAGGTGCGTCTTCAAAGCTTAGTATTGAGGTGACATAGGAAAGATCTGCGATCGCCGAGGGCGAACGATAGCCCGAGTAGGGAGTCTGGGAGCAGAAAATCTGGAGGCTCAGGAACACTATTCCCGTTATAACAATAGCACTTTTTTGTGTATTACTATGGTCCCGTCAGTCTCCAAATACTTGTTAAATGGAATACCTAGCCACGTGCTTACCGTAATCCGAATGTTAACATTCTTTCTGGCTGGGATAAGTAAAAATAAACCTAACTACCGCTTATCTCGCTTTTGTGTTTTTCTTTACCAGGTTTAGATTCCTGGTAACTGTCTCCAGCAAAGGCACATATAACTATTCGCAACACGTTTATAAGCTGTAACGAAGTTGCTATTTCCAAATAAACCGAATTCTGTGAACATTGATAAGTTCGGGGGCACTTTGACCTTTGTTTATTTTAAATCATGTCTTGCTTCGTAACAAGCACTTGGGTTACAAACAAATGTCTTGCTGTTTATCACGTAGAATTAACACTTCAGAGAATAATCATAATGTAATATCTGAAAATTAATTCGACACTTCCAAAAAGATCAGTAAAGTCAATTAAGCGCTTGTTATGTAAAGGGTGCCCTGCTTTGTATTCCTCAGTAGACAAGTTGAGCTTCTAGGCGTTACACAAATTTAATACAAAATTAAGGATTTTTTTTTACACCGATGAAACATTCTTAAAACCATATCATTTTCAGATTTATTCCATGTTTTTTTTTTTTCGCCTTGTTCACAAATTGACCTGAGATCTGGCGTCCTCCATGCCTTTGTCCTTAGCAGGCAAGAGTAAAAAGGTTCCTTTTTGTAATCAGTCCCGTAAGATCCAATCCATTCCCTCAATTTTCACGGGATCATTTGCGGTCGACTTTGGGGATCACTTGCGGTCGAGGATCATTTGTGGTCCATTTTGGGGATCATTTGCGGTCGGGGATCATTTGCGGTACTGTACAGAACTCGTAGGAACGTTGTTTAGAAAATTATCAAGTGGTTATCAACTCTGGTTTTCCCACAGTAAACTGTAGGAAATGATAGAAATTCAGATTGTTTATATATATATTTAATAGACGGTGTCCTATCTTTTCTCTGGAACCACGATACTTTTCTTGCTATTTATTGCACTTCATTAAATAACAGTTATTTAAGTATATATTTATAGAAAACAACAACACAATAAACGGGAAAAAAAAAGAGTTGAGTAAAACTCCAACCCGGCACCTTCGGCTTGACGCGACTACACCTAACCACTACACCACAGAGGCTGATTACGTAACTTTGGGGAAAAGTCTTTAATTTAATGCCTTTTCCATGAAACTTCCGCCGGCAAGATGATCAAGCCGCATTCACCGAGCTATTAACAGTAAAAAACAATGTAAACGCATACTCCATGGCAATGAATGAATGAAAGAATATAATTATGCTTTACAAAACGACGATACACGCCCTCGTCTGCAAAGTAATACGCAAAACATATGTTTTGTTATCTCGATTTCCGCTGTTATTTTGAAGTAATGGTCGAAATCACATCCATTTTCGGCTCATACAGGTTCTTAAGAATAGCATGGCATGAGATTTTCTCACTTTCACATCACCTTCTAGCAAGCTGGAATTTGTATATCGCCCGTATTGCGGGGTCGAGGAGGAAATGCTCATCTTCTCGTCAAGTTTAATGCCCGGACGAGTCAAAGGCTCTTGAATTAAAATCCAATCCCCAAGTTAACCATCGTACTCATCTGAAAGACTCCTACGTGGCTTAAATTTGGTAAGACCTCTAACCGTGCTGTAGAAAATTTGCCACAAAGAAAACTCTGATCCTGGGCAGCGAACGATGCGCGCTCTCAACCACCGAACTTCCTCGTGTTTTTATTTGAGTTGTTCGTGGCGCAATGCATTCTAGTATTGAAACAAAAAGGAACTACACCAAAGCATTTACAATATAACACAGATAAAATAAAAAATTATAATTATAATAGAAGGACAATTATCGGTGGTCAAGATTATTTAACGAGGAACGTTCAACTGGAATTCTAAATAAACAATTTTAAATAAAAACTGCTTTAAACTAAGACATGAGGAACTCTTTCACTGCGAAAGTAGATGGTGCATGATAGAACAAAGTCACTTTTTGAGTCTGTGGACGAAATCCTGTGGAGTGATCTTTGAAATGAAACTTATTTGGTAGAACTTTGGTAGAACTTTTAAACTGAGTGAAAAACAACACGGGACAGGGAATAGTGGCAGGTGTCCATTTTATAGACATGTCCATTGAGAGAGAGATGGCTGTGACCTGGATAAAACCAAATACAAGATGAACACGGTGTTAAATCGGATTGAAAAAAAAAACGTACGCGTTATGAGGGGTCCACCTTTGCATGGCGGCAAAAGTGCAGTAAAGAGGTTCAGTACTTCACAGCTGACTTCAGACTAGGGGGAGCAAACACTGGAAATTTCATTGAACTTCTTTAAAAAGGCCTAAAATTTTTTCGCTAAACAAAATTGCCCTTTCAAAGGTGATAAAAATCAAACTACAAGCCATCTGTTTTCATTTCTTTTCACTAAAGTTTAATTTATTAGTTTGTATGTGATCTTGTAATAAAGATTTGCAGTTTAAGGTGTAACAGAAGATGACATCGATGATACTTAACCCTTGTCCTACTCACTCAAGGGCTACCAAAATGGGAAAACAAATTAAAAATCAACGTTTTATTCTCCAAAATACTGACAACAAATATCACCATTTTTAAGTACTGCTGAAGAGGTTTTATTTGAATTAATCCAGACTCGAGAGTTATAAATCCTAGGAGATTTGTGGCTGGAAAAAATATTTTCGCAATTGAGAGGCTGACCTAAAAATTCGCTACCGACCGAACGCTTCCTGTTTTAGAATCACAAAAACGCCGCCCATATTTCATTTACTAACGCGTATGATAACAGCTAAAGAAGACAACAGATCCAACTTAAGGATACCCTGGGTCCCTGGGTACCAGAGGTTTTTTCTCACTTGCGGCTGTACGTAATTTTTTTTCTCTTATTTTGTGTCTTACCTTGGGAATTATACCCATTGGACCCGTTAATATTTTATGTATTGTTTCAAACGCTTTATATTCGTTTTATACCTTATACTTTTCCTCTTTTCATCTTGATAATGGCGTAACATTGCGCCAAATCGTCGTTCACTTTTTTTAATGTATTTTAAAAATCTTTTAGCATTTAACTTTTTGATCAAATCATTTTTGAAATCTCTCCTGTTAAGTTACATGAAGGCCCAAGCATTTTCAATGTAGGACTCGTTGTTTTTTTAACTTTGACTCATTGGCGGGGTTCTGTCTGGGATTTATCGTTTGTGGGGAGAAGTCCCGAGTGGCCAAAGGCGACAAGCTTCCTCGGGGGGTCCGGGGCCTTTTCCCCGGAAATTTTTTTAAATGAATATGAGTTGAGATGCAATCTGGTGCATTTTGAGACACAATTTTGAGAAATGTTACAGTGTGTGCACTGACCTCGTCGCGTCTGGATGATTTTTCCGATATACTTACTTATATACTGTAATGATAACAATATTTTTTTTTGGGGGGGGGGGGGGGGGGGGGGGA